CCGGATGGGGCGGAACTAGGTCAAAGGTAACCGGAAGGGGAGGAACCGGAAGGGGCGGGACAAGGGGCGGGACAGGAAGGGGAGGAACCAGAAGGGGCGGGGGAAGATCAAAGGATAGACACGCCCACCTGTCAATCAATCATTTTGACAGGTGCTGTATCCTATTACTACTGGCCTCTAGTCAGTTAACGTAGTGTGATTCCGTAGAGCTACGTCACATGTAGGCTCACTATTGGCCGACGCTGGTCATGTGCGTGATGCGTGTGACATACAACAAAAGAAGCTTACGCTATTACACTAGTGAACTGACTCGAGGCCCACAGAGAAGGAAATGAATAGTTGAAATAAAGTCGTTATTTTTGGGGGGTTTTGCGCACAAAAAGTATTCTCGTCGCTTGATAAACTTACGATTGAGCCACTGTAGTCACTTGGACTATTTTAACGATGTCTTTAATAACTTTTCGAGGCCGGCAAGTTCAATCCCTGAAGAAGCCTATGTACTCAGAGTCAGTTACCATGGTAACTTACTCTGTGAACCTAACCAGGGGTGCGTTTCCCGAAAGCATCGTTAGCCAACTATGGTCGCAAGTTCCGTCGTTACCAATAGAGTTCAATGGGATTTGCGACCAACTTGCGACCATAATTGGCAAACGATGCTTACGGGAAACGCACCCCTGGTCGGGAGCAGGTTTTCTTCAGTAAACCTAGAGTTTATTTCGGTCTCCTCCCCTTTTTTAACCCTCTGATGGTCTTCAAAAAAAAGAAGATAGACCCCTTCGGGGTCTATTGGACCCCAGACAACAACATTTAATTTTGTAACCGAACATTTTTTTTTTTTTTTTTACAAATATAATTTTACTCTGTTTATTAATGTTTTTACTCAACATTTGTGCAGTTTTGGGAGAATTTATGATTTTGTTTTAAATTTCTATAAATAAATTAATAAATATTTAATTAATAGGATTTTTACAAAAAAACAGCATTTTATGTTAAATAAACTTTATAAAAGACCCAGATTTCTAACTTTCATTCCTGGGGATACCATGGATAATTTTACAAGGTTTAATGTAAGATTTTTGCCCATTTTTTGGAAAATACAGGTTAAAATTTGTAATAAATCACTTTAACCACTAGATGGCTATAGAGCTCCATTATATGCTATTTGCTATTTGAATTACTGAAAGATATAGTTTCTAAAGTTGGATTCAGTTGGATTCATATCTAAATATTATAAAATCACAATTATAACAAAAATAAAATAATTTTTGTCAAAATTTAGCATTTTTTGTACTGAAAAAACACTATGCATGGTAAACCGCATGACTTCTGCAGACAGGGTTGGAGCAGGTTTGGCACTTCACTGTTGTTGTTGTTGTTGTGTGTGTGTGTGTGTGTACATTTTATTTTTATTTTTATGTGTACAGTGTCACCAATTTATTTTTGTGGTGGTTCTTCATTTTGTATTATTTTATTTGACAAATTATAAGACTTTTTATAGCCTTACAAATGTATTCCTGTGTGTGTGTGTGTGTGTGTGTGTGTGTGTGTGTGTGTGTGTGTGTGTGTGTGTGTGTGTGTGTGTGTGTGTGTGTGTGAATGTGTGTGTGCGCACATTTTCAATGCGTCTAAGTGTTACCAATTTATTTTTCTGGTGGTTCTGCATTTTAGATTATTTTATTTTACAAATGATAAGAGAACAGTTTTTATAGTCTGTATGTATTCCTGTATAAATGTATTCCTCTTTATGTGTGTGTTTGTGTGTGTGTGTGCGCCTGTGGTGAGCATGATAATTTTGGATTGTGGATGTTTTTTGCATTGTTGGAAGTGTGCCACTTTATTTCTGTCATTTCTGTCTATGTGTGCTACGGTCCGTGTAACGCTTTGCAGTTCTTTGTTCAATTTGCACCATCACAATTAACCAAATGAAAAATTGGCTTCAATCTTTCATTTTCCATTTTTTTGGAATAATTCACAAACGGATAATTGTCTCTCAGTTTAATTTTCAATTCTACAATCTTGGGTTGTTGCATCCGAGTCTGGTTTTTGAACAAACATAAAAAAATGACTCATTGATCTGACTTTCCATTTCTCTGTGTTTTGCTCGCGGTTGGACCGTACCAGTTCCGCCGGGGGGTGGGGATGTGGATGCATTTACCCACAGCGCTGTAGCGTTATGTATATGGCACGTCTGAGTCTGACCATATTTATCATCTACATGTTAGAACCCTATTAACTGTGTGACTGCAGGTTAAAAAACACAGATTGTCTGGAAGATGTGTGAGTGGAGTGCGCTTGATGATTACGAAAGTGTAATTCGCAGGTTAGTAGAGGAGCTGGGATACACATGCACACAAGTTCAAGAGGTCTTACAGCAGCAATATGGACTTGGGAGAGGTTCCAGTATTTCCTCCATTTCTAAATTCTGCGCATCGAGAAACATTCATCGTTTCGATTATGCACGGCTAGGGAGAGATGGTGTGGATGCAGTCGTTCGACCAGCAGTTACTGTTTGCGGCCCTGTGTACGGTAGAAAGATGATGACTGGGATGTTGAGAGCTTCGGGATACAGGTTGGGTGAAAGAGCTGTAAGGCGTGCACTGGCACAAATTACCCCGCAGTACACAGAGATGCGAAGAGAGGGAACTGCTCGCCAAACTAATCCACATATCTATTACGCTGAGTATGCCGGTCACAAAATACACATGGACCAAAACGAAAAGCTTGTGGATTTTGGAGTGACTGAAGTTGTTGCCTCTGATGGTTTCAGTGGGAAAATTTTGGGATTTTCTGTAATGCCGATCAAAAATAATCTGATAATTTATGACGATGTGTACAGAGAAATCTGCTTGAGCCATGGCCTTTTTGATCAGATAAGAGTTGATCATGGACGTGAATTTTATTTATGTCTGTATCAACAAGACAATCTTCGGGCCTTTCGCACTAATGTCAATAGACCCCCTTTCATTCAAAGTCAGTCAAGACAGAACCACGCTGCTGAAAGAAAGTGGGTCGAAGTCAACTCGCGAATAAACTACCCAATTAAGTACACATTGTGTGCCTTGGCCAACAATGGTTTTTTGGACATTGATGACCCATTTTGGAAGCACTGTGTCTCAGCCATTGCTTCAAAATGCTGCATGGTTGGGCTACAGAATTTCATCCCTGCCTGGAATGCACATACAATCCCATCCAAGGGTATACCCGATGCTCTTTTTGCAGTCCATCTCAGGACCGCTCGAATCCCACCTCAGTTCCTTCCACCTGCTGAGGATCTTGCAGCTGACTACATTAGGAATGGAGGAACTCTGACTTATCCTGCGCCCTTTGGACGAGACCCCCTCGATGGTCACCCTGACCTTCAGGTGCAGAGGGAAACATTGCTGTTGTCAACCTGTAGTTGTGAGGAAATGTTTTATGATTGTCTTTTAGGTCACAGTGACCTACTCTGGGAGGGTTTGGAGACATATGTAAACATTACACATAGACTGGAGCAATAGGCTAGTGTGGTGGTGTTTTGTTGTTGTTCAAATTAAACAAATTAGCACCAGTAGTAGCCTTTAGTACCTTTTTGAGAGTATTAAGATTTCTACTCCACTATATCAGAGGCAAAAATCATTGTTTACTTTACTATTTTTGTCTGACCTCTTTATTGGTTACTTTTCAAATTGCAATTTCTTATTAAAGTCTCATTTAAAGTCGCATTAAAAGTTGTCAGATTTTTTTTTTTAGATAATTGGTTCTAGTACCAGGACAGCAACGCTACAAAAATGCGAGATTATGAGATGCTTTGCTGTAAATTACCTACTCTGTATCTAATGTTAACAATATTTAAAGCATTAAAAACGGTACATAAAGTAATAAACAACTTATACATTAATGCAGAAGAATTCTTAATTTAAAAAAAAAAAAAAACAGTAAAATGCTGACAACAAACAGTTTTTGCAGAATTAATACTTTAAGCCCTGGTTTCACAGACAAGGCTTAAACTGGTCCTGGACTAAAATGTATGTTTGAGCCATTTTAACTGAAAGCAACTTACATATAAAATATGTCACTGTCATTGTTTTGTCACAAGATACACACTTAAAATGTTTATAAACGTTACTTAAATGTCCTAATTGAACTAATGCCTAATCCTGTCAAATCTAAGCCCTGTCTGTGAAACCAGGCCTTAACCTCCCATATTAGGATTATGAATATTCTTTGTCATAATCAAAATCTATATTCTATAAATCTATAAAAGTATATTTTATGTATTATCTGTTCTGTCAGTCTTTTCTCACTCCTGAACTGCAGCATGGAATGGTTTCATGCTACAGTACATGAACATTCTACATTATTTGCATTGATTGACATGATTTATGTTTGCCAACACATCACTATATTTATCAGCTATGCACTATGACTATGGTGAACTGGGTGTGGGGTGAGGCCCGGGTCATACGTAACTGGTATTAATGACATAAATACATTTACAAGTTGAAATGGTTTATTTTGTGAAGTACCATTGTAACATTTTGTTAAAGTCAGAATTCAGTTTCTTAAAATGCCCCACTGCATGGGGAAAATGGGGAAACACTCAAACCAGACTTTATTTCAAGTATCAGTGCTATTTTTTTTAACAGTTTTGAACAGTGAAATGACCCTTAGCCAGCATATTCTGCTAGGAAAAATGTGCTATGGTTCATATAACAACAGTGTTTGTTGAAGAAAAGGGAGGGTGTCTCTCTTTAAATGGCCTATTCAAGAACAGTAACAGATACTGCTGTTAAGCAGTAATGCCTATTAAGACACTGCATATGGCACCAGGCTACACAGATAAACTCAGCTGGCTTTTTTGAATTTATGCCTCTACACGCATACAAAAATGTGATACAGAAAAAGAAAAAATTACTCGGCCAGATGCCATACAAACCCCTGAACACCATGCCCAAGATTCTTAACAAAAAAAAAAAAAAAGCAAGGTGCTAAAACACATAAAATTTCTCAACATTATTATTTCTGAACTTTTGAGCCAAACTGTCAGCCAGACCACATTTAAGTCGCTGCATTTGTCAGTTTTGCCAGTACCTCACTCAGGCCTCTTAAAAACACCAGTTTGCCTGCGAACATATTTGCCTTGCATAAAAGGCAGCTGTCATTATCATTTAGATAGGTCTGGATACAGGGGCCACACCCTGCCACCTGGCCACAGCATGCCGTTATAACAAGCACAGAATTTGGGATGTTTGTGCACATCCTACATGCCAACGCATCTCGCAGAGAGGAAGCAATGGATAGTGACTTTGACACTTGAGAAACTTTCTCCTTCACCTCCGCTAAAACGTCAATCTGTTGCACTACCTCTAGGACATTAGCCTTAATGTGGTTGACTGAAATGGTTAGCTCGTTAAATTTTTCATCTATGTTTTCAGCTAGCTTTGATGCAGAGTTTTTTATCTCAAGCTCAATGCCAAGCAGGCCATCTAGAACTTCATTTTCTTCGGGGTCCACCCTGAAAAAAAAGAAGTGAAAAAGACATGTCCATGTTCACAGACAATACTACAGTATATCTGTAACATTAAAGGGGTCATGAACTGGCTTTTTAAAAAAATATATATTGTTGTCTGAGGTCAACTTATGACGTTCGCTTGGTTTTTACATTCAAAAACATCAAAATGAATAAGTAATAGGCTATTTTCTACCATAGTTTTGAGCCTAGCTCAAAAACGCTCGGTTTTTATGGGCGTCTCGCATTGAAGACTTGGAAGTAAACGCCCACTGCTGTGAGTGGATAACAGTTTTGCATATTATAATGAGTTTCGTGTAATGCGCGAATCGGTGGGCGGGGCTAAACCGGCCGTGTTGAAGTAGGCGTTGATCTTCTTCTGCGGGGGTGGTGTTTTATCCTCTTTGTCGTCATAGTTCCCCACTTTGAAAAACGAGTCCTTTGCTGAGCCTGGTGTCAATAAAAGCTTTTATTGGACTAACAAGGACGTTTTCAGTTCTGAAACTTACAGGATATTCTTATAATATGATGACCTCTTAGATGTCAAAAGCTCAAGGAAAATTTGATTTCTCAGTTCATCACCCCTTTAACATTATCAAGATGTAGAGTAAAAATAATCATCCTTATTTATATTATTATTACACATTTTAAATGTTACTTTAAAATTATACCACCATGAATAGATGCTTTATTTTGTTATTGCATGTGGCCAATGCAAGCTATTTCAGTATTCTTCAGGTTTATGGTCTTTGTTTTCCAGTTGTTTTTCTGTTGGTGTTTGAAATAAAGCTGCTTTTAATTTTCATTGTTGACTGATTGCATGAACCTGTTATAGAATTACTAGCTATACACTTTTATATAATAATTTATTAGTGTTGTCATTTGCATTATATTTTTAGGCTTATGACGCTGAAGTAAAACTATGCCAGGCCAATTTTTATACTAGCTTAATAATATTATACAATAATAAGAAAACAACCCCAATATCATCTTGACTATCGACAAAGACATCAGCTATTGGCAATATCTATCGTAAATACACTATACTATTCAGCACAACGCTATTTGGGTGTTAGAATTCTAACTATTAAACATTGCTTTGAAGGAAAGGTGGTAACAGTTGATCAGGGAGATCATTAGATACGGGTTTTTCTGTACAGTGTATTGTTGCAAAACAGCATACATTTAAGCATGCAACTTAACTTTGCCTGCTTTAAAGACTTTGAGAAGCTTTCCTTTTATCACTGATAGTGTTAAATTAAGTAATTGTAATTCCCATTCATTGATCACTGTATTAGTGAGTTAAAACCAATAACATCATCCTTTGTCTGGTAAGTCACATAAGGCTCTGGCTCTCTGTTTTACACAATGTAAACACTCAGGTTAAATCTTAGGTTCTCTTATCAGTTCTAACAAAGACTTTTAAACAACTAAGAGGCTATATAATAACTTTATAAGAGTTAGATTAATTGATCAGATAATTGAATCTCAGATAATTAATTCAGTTCTGTACATCATCCTTCAACTGCTTTTTGATCATATTATTGGTTCAAAATAGCAGTGCAAGCTTTTAGTTTTACAAGATGACTCAAGTGAATCATGCAGAAATAGCAATAGGCCAACATGGATGAAAAGGTTGTTTGTTACTCTAATTTGTATCATTTATTTATCGGTCACACAGCCCTATTCTGGGACATTAGGTATACACCTGACCGTTATAACACTAGCTGTGATGATGCAGTCACACATAGTGAGTGGTGTTTACATGGTTATGCCTCTACTGCATAGTAGTTCATTTTGATTCCTGAAAAAAAAATATATATATATTGCCTTTTCTTTTTGGAGGCACTTTCAAGTCTTCCCGTCTTGAGCTTGGTCAGGTCTACTGTTCTGATGGCGTATACCTTCCGGCTTGATGTTTTCCAAAATTCCAAATCTAAAAATGCAACAAAATTACTAAATTATGCCTACATTACATTTCACGGTTTCTACTTACATTTCTACAAAATTCACAAAACTGCACACACAAAATGTGAGGAACACCTTATCTCTTGTTCTTTGTTGGACTTTTTCAGATATGGTGTTGCAGTGCACTTCATAATACCCTCACAAACCCACTTACAACAGCCTAACACTAGAATAGAATACAGTACAAATGTGTCATTTTTCAGTCTATGACCTTTGCACATGCCACATTTTACATTTTGTGTACCAGAATATACAATAGTTTGCTTAAAATGGTCATTTAAACAAACTGAAACACATTTAATCAACATCACTTTCGTCTGCAAGCAGTTAAACTTCTCAAGTTCAACTAGGGTGACCACCACCATCATTCTCAGATGGACTCTTTGGGCAGTTGATAAACATGTATGGTAGTTCAGGGGATAAACATGTGGACATTTGCAGTCAAATACCTTTGGTCTCTGATGTATCCGCAATTGCCAGCCCTTTGGCATCGCAGATACTGTAGCTATCAGCAGAATTTAAATATTCCTGCACTGTTTGTCCCACTGCCTGAACACCCTGGCCTTCGGATATTGTGACATGTACTGTAGCTGTGATAAAGAAAGAAAAGTTAATAATCCAGTTATTCGGTTCCCAACCCTAGTCCTGGAGTACCCTCGCTTCAAAACTGCACATTGTTTACGTCTCTCTGACAAACCCATCTGACTCTGACTCTGAGGTCTTGGAGTGTCTAGTTCTACTATTGAGCTGAATCAGGTGCATTTGATTAAAGTCCCCGTGAACCGGATCTTGCAACCGACTTCAGTGCTGTGACGTATTTCTGAGTGAAACGGAATATTGAAATGGGGTTTTACTTCAGCTCCTCCTATTTATCCATGGCTCATAGCAGACTGACGGTTGGAGGGGCGTGGTTACTTTGCGCTAGCAAAGTAAATGTTCCATTTTGATTTCATGAGGACTTTACGGAGACATGTGCAGTGATTGGGGTACTCCAGGACCAGGGTTGGGAACCACTAATCCAGTTTAACATAAGCTACAGCATTTGAAGTACAATGTTAGTACAAGTAGTTATGAGCTAAAAGATCTGGCTAATACATACTGTATGGAGATATTTTCCCGCTGTCCTCAATGTCTGCTACATAAATTTGTTTTCTTGCTGATTTGGTCCTTCGGAGAGGGTTTTGAAATGTATTAGATGGGTGTGTAAAGGCAGGGCTCCCTTTTGGGCGACAGGATAATGGTGTTGAAGGGCCTGCAACTGGTGTCAAAACTTGTTCTTTGCTTGTCCCTGAGACAGCAAATGATCCTCGGTCTCTCATCAGGGTGGTCTGAAACTGTCCAGATTGATCTGGAAAAAATGTTTCTCTTGTGATGTCGTCCTCTAAATAAAGACTATCTGGCTCAACCTAAAGAGAAGGATACAATAAAGTTTGATTAATGCCACTACTAAATGTCTAATATATATATATATATATAGCCTATATATTGTAGTCTCGTGTAGCAAGACATTCAGACTGATGGCCAACGGTCCCGTCTGAGGCTAAGACTACCTATATACTACTTTATGAATGTGACTCTGCCACGTTTCCCACTGACATGCCCCCAAATCGTAAACTTGGGGCTTAAAGAAAATCCTGAGCTTCACACTCAATATTTACAACTTTATTGCTATTTATTTCAAATACAGTTTCTGAATGTTATTTACACATAAAATATATCAAGTTATTTCATGATTAAGTGTATAGTTCAGTGGAAACGTAGGCCTATTTTTAACGTAAGTTACGAGGCAAAACTTTAACAGGACAAACAGAAATTAATTTCATTTTAACAAAAATTCTGCCCATGAATTTGAAGGCTCATATTGGCCTACTGGCAATGAAGATAAAAGACTGCATTATCAGAAGAGCTCTGCAAATGGTGCGTTTACTGGACACCACTGAAAACGGAAAATCTTGTGTGAGTTTTGGCCGTTCCGACCACGAGGTTTTGGGGACCTGAAAACGGATGTTTCATGACAAAGTGACATCGCCAACTAAGTTACTGGCGTAGCATGCATAATACATATTTTTTGTAGATCCGTGTGAACAGGGATAGTTTTGACATGGTTGTTATGTAAACATACCCTTAGTTACAAAATATATAGTAGTTAGTAACTAACCCTCAAGTGAAGACTTTACATTCCAAAACCCCGCGGGAAGCGCCCGCGCGATCACTTGCATATGCTGGCTAGTGGCTAACGCTAGCTTAACTATCAAGCTAACATTAATGAAAGTTAAAGACTTAAAAATGCACGAAAATATTTAAATCAACCAGTTAATCACCTTAAAAATAGACTCCAATCGGTCTCTCGACAGATCTCGGGCTGACATTGTCAACCTTTTTGCGCCGTGGTATCAAGGGGGTAATCCATCGACCGGAAGTTGAAGTCGGCCGGGTGCCGCCATCTTGTAGCAGAACTTCACTTGCGTTAGCATTTCCATTGACTCCCATTCATTTTGGCGTCACTTTGACAGCGAATAACTTTACATCTGAGGCGTTTAAAGACTCCATTTGTCCATTATTTATTTCTAAAGAAACACGACAATGTATAAAAGGCTCCATTACCTTCTATGTTACGTTATGGCCCCGTAGAAACAGATTTAGTAAAAATAGGCTAACGATTGCGTCATAACCACTCGACTCTCTGTCGCGCTGTACAGAAATTACCGTATAGACAGAAGTAGAAACTCGCGCGCAATCGGGGGGACGTCGAGGCATAAAGTCAAGGGAGAAGCCCATAGAGAGTTGTAAAGCTGCTCCTGCTGCGAGCTCATGGACAGCTAATACTCACGATCTCCGGCTCTGCAAGTTTCGGAAGGGAATGATTCAGATTCCTCTTGGCACAGCTACTAGAAGATTAACGTCTGTCAGACAGGTTGCTCACGTCATCAAGCTTAGTTTGAGTCGGTTTGAGTCTGCGCGTCAGGAACGGAAGTGCTCAAAAATCGCTAAAAATGGGCTTCAACTGTCTCAACTGAGTTCCAATGAGATGGCTCTGTCCATTTCTTTTACTGTCTATGCGTGGTATAGGCTGAACTGCGGCTGGTACAGGTCATCCATCTTGCATGCATTGGCAATGATGCACAGAATGACTGTGTTGCGTTAACCTGACTCCGCCAGATGGATTTGCTCCGCATATCCATCTGGAAACCTTCCGTTGAAGTAGTTTTGGTAAGGGGCGAAAATACTGGTTAGCTGATTGGCCTATGTTGGTGATAGACGGGCCAAATCAACCAATCAGATCAACGAAGCATATGACGTACTAACAGAGCGTATCTTTTCCTCTGAGAAAAGCCTCCAGAGCAGTGTTTTGCTCTTCTTTCAGTGAAGAAATACTCTGTAATTGGCAAGGCAAGGCAAGGCAAGTTTATTTATATAGCACATTTCATACACAATGGCAATTCAAAGTGCTTTACATAAAAAAAATCAAAAGAAATAGGAATAATTAAAACAGTTAAGAATAAAGAGATTAAAATAATCAAAAGAAATAAGAATAATTAAAGCAGTTTAGAATAAAAAATAAAATAAAATACAGTACAAACAGTCGGACACAGTGGCACAGTGCTCATTCAGTAAATGCATAGCTAAACAGAAGTGTCTTGAGTCTGGATTTGAATGTGACTACTGTAGGAGCACATCTGATCTCCTCTGGAAGCTGGTTCCAGCTGCGGCTGGCATAGTAGCTAAAAGCAGACTCACCATGCTTAGAGCGAACCCTTGGTATTTCTAGCTGATGTGATCCTAATGATCTGAGTGATCTGTTGGGTTTATATTCAGTGAGCATATCTGCAATGTATTTAGGTCCTAGGCCATTAAATGATTTATATACCAGTAATAATACTTTAAAATCAATCCTAAATGTAACTGGGAGCCAGTGTAAAGACCTGAGGACTGGTGTGATGTGTTCATATTTTCTGGTTCTGCTCAGAATCCTGGCAGCAGCGTTCTGTATGAGCTGCAACTGTCTTATGGTCTTTTTAGGAAGGCCAGTGAGGAGTCCATTACAATAATCCACCCTGCTAGTGATGAAAGCATGCACAAGTTTCTCTAAGTCTTGACTGGAAACAAAGCATCTAATTCTTGCAATATTTTTCAGATGATAGTATGCTGATTTAGTTATTGATTTGATATGACTACTGAAACTAAGGTCTGACTCTAGAGACACACCCAGATTCCTCACTTGATTTTTAGTTGTTAGACCCCTAGCGTCAAGGTATGCATTCACCTTGAGAACTTCATCTTTGTTGCCAAACGCAATGACTTCAGTTTTGTCTTTGTTTAACTGAAGAAAGTTTTGGCACATCCAATTGTTTACTTCCTCAATGCATTGGCACAGGGAGTCAATGGGGCTGTAGTCGTTAGGCGATAGGGCTAAGTAGAGCTGTGTGTCGTCTGCATAGCTGTGGTAAGCAATTCGGTTCTTTCTCATTATTTGGCTCATTGGGAGCATGTACAGGTTGAATAGGAGTGGCGCAAGAATTGAGCCTTGAGGGACTCCGCATGTCATGGATGTCCACTCAGACTTATGGTCTCCTATACTCACATAATAACCTCTCCCTTCTAAGTATGACCTGAACCATTTTAGGACTATCCCAGAAAGCCCCACCCAGTTTTCCAGCCTGTCAAGAAGTATGTCGTGATCGACAGTGTCAAATGCAGCACTGAGGTCGAGTAGTACCAGCACTGATAATTTGCCGTTATCAGTGTTTAAGCGAATATCATTTATTATCTTTATGAGCGCTGTCTCTGTGCTGTGATGCGATCTGAAACCAGATTGAAAATTGTCAAAGTATCCATTCGAGATTAAGAATTTGTTCAGCTGATTGAAGACAACTTTTTCAATGATCTTGCCTATGAAAGGAAGATTTGAGATCGGTCTATAGTTGCTTAATATGGTCTTATCCAGATTGCTCTTTTTCAGGAGGGGCTTGACAACTGCAGTTTTCAGGGAGTTTGGAAAATTCCCAGAGATAAGTGAGGCATTTACCACTTCTAGGAGATCAGCTTCTAAACAGTTTAACACACTTTTGAAGAAAGATGTGGGAAGTGCGTCAAGGGCGCAGGTTGATGTTTTAAGGTGCTGTACGGTTTCTTCTAAAATTTTGCCATCAATTTCATCAAAATCAGACATAGTAGCTGCTTTCTCAGGTTGTGGTCTGATCTGTCTGACCCCAGTGCAGCTCAATGATGTGCTGATCACCTTTCTGATATTATTGATTTTCTCAGAGAAGAACGAAGCAAACTCCCTGCACTTTCTGTCTGAGAGCAATTCATTGGGAATCTGGCTTGGGGGGTTTGTCAGTCTCTCTACAGTAGCAAAAAGAGTGCGTGTGTTGTTTAAGTTGCTGTTTATAATATTTGAGAAGAAAGTCTGTCTAGCTTTGCCTAGTTCCATATTGAAAGCATGGATGGTGTCTTTGTAGATGTTATAATGGACTACAAGTTTGGTCTTCCGCCACATGCGCTCTGTTTTTCTGCATTGTCTTTTCATATTTTGCACAGCTGTTGAGTTTCTCCAAGGTGCTTTTTGTCTACCACTCTTCCTGACTTTCACAGGAGCAATATCATCAATTACACTTTTAACTTTTGAGTTAAAAGAATCAAGGAGAAAATCAACAGAGTCAGCAGATATGCTTGGTGTTGAAGATATAGCCTTCATAAATAGTACACTAGTGTTCTCATTTATGCATCTCTTCTTGACAGACACAGATCTAGCTTCAATGGCAGGAGAGATCAATATATCAAAGAAAATACAGAAATGATCAGACAGTGCTACATCCTTAATAACAATCGATGAAATGTTTAGACCCTTACTGATAAGTAAATCTAGAGTGTGTCCACGACTGTGTGTGGGTCCGTGTACATGCTGAATCAGATCAAAAGTTTTTAAAACAGTTTTGATTTCTTTTGCCATATTGGTTTCTGTATTATCTATGTGGATGTTAAAATCTCCAGCAATCGCAAAACAGTCAAACTCTGAGGAAATGGTTGATAACAGTTCTGTAAAGTCCTCATCAAAGGCTGAAGAGTATTTTGGAGGCCTGTAAAGAATAATAAGTAAAATGCGTGGAACGCCTTTTAACACAATACCCAGATATTCGAAAGACGGGTAATTACCAAATGATATTTGCTTACATTGATAGACATCCTTAAAAAGAGCAGCTACTCCTCCACCTCTCCTTACAGCTCTGCAGACACTCATAAAAGTAAAGTTAGGAGGAGATGTTTCATTGAGGACTGTTGCACTGAAGCTGTCTTCTAGCCAGGTTTCATTTAGAAACATAAAATCCAGGTTGTATGTGGTTATTAAATCGTTGACTAGAAGTGATTTATTTTTAAGTGAGCGGATGTTTAATAGTGCTAACTTAACAGTCTTACTTTTTGTCCCCACAGTAATCTTAGTTTGTCGTGTAATAGGCACCAGATTAGATGGGTTTGCTGTACGGCTTTTGAAGGCCTTAGACTTTCTATCATGTAATCGAACAGCAATAGAGGAAGATACAGGCACACTGGGTTCCCGCTTGTTATGTAAACATTTAAGAAAGTTACTGTTGTCATAGCGGAGACCCGACACATATCACTGAGAGCTGGTATCAGTTCTTTTTGGTTGACCTCGGGCCGCTGGAGGAGGGTGTGGGCCCTGGCGCTGTGGCAGAGGCCGAAGAGCTCTCACAGGAGGAGGGGGAGGGCGAGCTGGGCCCGCAGGCTTTGGTGGTTGCGGGGCCTGCCGCTTTTTTTGCACTTTTTTTTGTGCACTTTTTTTTTGTGCACACATGTACAGAGGCCTGTATCATGTTTCCCAATTATGATTGAGTGTGTTATGTCCTATACCACGGATACGAGAAATTACTGTATCTTCCCTTCTATTTCCACACACCATTCTCATACCTCCCTTTGTAATCTGTACAATTCTCTAGGCTACCTTTTTCCTCCGTATCCCACATTTCTTGCCACATTCCTTTTATTGCTCTTTTTATTAACCCTTTGATTTTAAATTTGCTTAATGTAATATTAAGTCCTATGGACTGCTTGTGCAATGTTTAACCTTTTGTTTCTCGCTCTTTATCGCTCTTTAGGGACCTGCCTGCCCTATAATTCCGATAAAACTTGCTCGATAGCCACGCTGATGCTAGTTCCATCCGCTGAAGCCGACATGTTCTTTAGACTGAACTGACGCGCTTCTCGTTGCGTCACACCTCAACCCGCCTCAAAGCCAACGCTGATTGGACGTTCGTTTGGTGAACTGCTCCCAAATTTTCTTTAACGGAAAGTATCCAGACTGATCTGCGAGTGAAACCTTGAAAGCTCGCGAGATCAGGATGGTCTCACGAGGCTAGTGTTGCGTAGCT